TCATGCTTTGCTAGAAATTTGGTTGAGATTGATGGGATCTCAATACACTATTAAAATCTTCTGACTTCTGGTGGTTGGAGCGATGGCAAGTACATTAAGTAATAATGTTAGGGTATTACTACTACTTTTATAACAAAAAAAAAGTTGGTAAGAAATACCTCACATGTTCGTATAACAAAATACGATGTACTTGATTGAACATGTTATGACTTATGACTAGCATTTTGGGTCGAGATCTATATATACAAAGACCACCATCAAGTTATATATATATATATATATATATATATGATATATATATATATATATATATATATATATATACATGATCATGAATCCATGTAACAATTCCTACTCGATTGTGTTGTAGGATGAATTAAGAGATCGTAAGAGGCTATTCACCCGGTTGATGTTGGTTTGGGCCAGCTCTCATTGTGCTTTGAGCATAAATGAAAAGTTCAATCTAGCCAGAGTATGTAGTCCGTCTGTGAGCAGAACCATTCTCTATATCATTCATTGTCTTGTCCTCGTATTTAGTTCAAAATACTTTATTATTTCACGTATATGATGTATTCATTTCGCCGAAATTACTATCATATACATCTTATTAAAACGATGAGTTGTTCCTCGGTCAGATCATATATCGATTAGGAAAGGACAGGGGTGTAACCATAAAATAATATGTCATGGAAATACACACAACAAAATTCGAGATTTTATTACAAGGGGCAAAGGGTAGATGAGATCTATGGTACTTACTTACCACCCACATGCCAATTCGTCGGGGTCAACAAATATTGATTGAACTCTTGTCTTTTTATACCTTGGATTCGTTGGCGTTATCAGAGTGATTAGTGTAATTATTTTGCACAACCAAATATGAATGATCACTCTCTTATTCGTCGATAAACAAATCATAATTAATCTGTAGTTAATGCAATACCCTACATCTATGATAATAATATGTGATAGTGATACAACTTCTTTTCTTACCAACTCAAATTATTTCGATCCATGAACCCGTTTACTTAAAGTCTTGATTGAACATGTTATATATGACTAGCACTTTGGGTTTATATCTATGGAAAGATCATCATCAAGTTGTCTATACATACGGTATCTGAGTAGTTACGGGCAAGACTATAATTATCAGTAAAAAGCTAGGCATTCTACAAACATGATCATGAATCCATGTAACAACTCCGACTCAAATATGTTGTAGGATAGATCAAGAGATCGTAAGAGACTAGTCCGTCATATTAATGCTGGTCTGGCTAGCTCATTTGATCAATAAATGAAAAAGTACAATCGTTAGGTAGAGTAGTATGCATGTGGACTATAAACCATCACCTTAAATCTAAATCATTCGTTATCTTCATATTTTAATTTAAAATACCTGATTGTTTTGCACCATTATGTATCAGTTTCGTTTGACAAACGTATCTTGCTACCAATGAGTTAAACGATCCAGTTATGCAACTCGACCGGGTTTGATGACTTCGTACCATGTATCGATTAGGAAAGGGCAGGAGTAATCATAAACAATATGTCATGAATTACTATACACAACAAACATCCGAGAATTTACACGGGGGCAAAGAATGGATCTATAGCACCAATTTTTGTATTGGTTGAACTAATACTAATTGAAAATACAGAGTAAAAATCAATAACAAGCATTTATTCCGCGGATCAATCGACCCAACCACCCACATGCCAATGCGTCGGATTCTACAATGATTGATTGATCTCCTTGTCTTTTTATATATACAATTGGATTAGTTGGCGTTGTCCAATGATCAATGTAATTATGAACAAAATAATATTTTTATAGTAAAATACTAATATGGTAATTAAGAAATAAAAATATTGTGTCTGAAGTATGTGATGATAAATGATCAGTCTCTCATTCGGAACAATACAATATCGTAACAATACACTATCAGTTCTTTTTGATAATAACATATAATATTATACAACATCGAGTTCCTACTGACTCGAATTATTTAGACCCATAAAACCTTGTAGTATATGTCATCTCTATTTTCAATCTCACACTAAGAAAATAAAACAAAATATTCTCAGCATGGCTCATGGGGCAGATTTTAATTTTTCTTTTATCAACATAGTTATTGGTGCAGTCAATGCATGCTATCTATCGGTTTCATCATTTCCCGCATATCTTAATTAGTTACATTTTCAATGTTATCCGATTTTATCCCTTTGTTTTTTTTTTTAAATCGCCCCATCTCCTTATTATATTCTGAACGCCATAAAATTACATAAAATAATTGGAAATAATTAAGAAATTATGGGGATCTGACATAATCGAACGTAGGCGTACACGTATGGGTTCACATGCATGCATGTGTTTCATGTGGTCTGCTTATTTTATTTTATATATCAGAAGTACTCAGAGTCTCAGACCACGTAATGATGACGGTATGACTAAAAATCATCTAATCCATGGTTTGTTAATTTGATATTCGGTAATAAGATACAAAAAAATTCTTAATCATGATGCTTGTAATTTATAGTGAGTGTACTATGTCAAAATGTGCTCGAGGAATTCTATGTGAATCATGTATCTTCTCTTCCTGTCAAATTAAAAGAGTCTTTTTAAAAAAAATTACACGATGGACGGTGAAGGAGTTAAGTTTGACAAAAAAAAAAAAAAGATACATATATAATTCGTAACAAATTTCGATGCTGGGCAATACAAATCTCTCGTAACTACGAAGAAGGGAGTTTTGTAGCAAATTGTCTAATTAGCTTCATAACGTACTACATATGTTCACCCATATGTCGTTTCATGTCTATTTTCAGAGTTCGATCCGATCATTTTCTGCTTTTATTTTCTTTTATCTCTTTGCTATTGAGATATACCTACTCATGTTGGCAACTTGGCATTAATATACACAAATTTTTTTTTGTGTAAAATTACATACGGGACCCTCTATATTTATACTATAGGTCTTGACAAATAGGGCAAATGAGTACAAATTTTTTCCGGGTAGAAAATGAGTACAACTTTCCAACACTCGAATAATGTTGCGAGACACAAATCATTGACCATAATGGCAATGCAATAAATCGACGTCGTGGTGGGGGTGAGTTGGCAACGTGAATAATATGGCAGGTTAACTATTTAGCGACGGGACAATTAATAATTTAATATTCCACCATAGTCTTTATATCTAAATTAGTAATGTAATCGTGATGGTTAAATTGTAGCTAAATTACAACTAGTTGATGATTAAAAAAAATCTGTAAATTAACTTAAACTTAAGTATATGCTCTCTCTACCGATGATTTTTTATGGCCGCATGAAGCATGACCGACTAAGAGATGAGGATACGTTTTACAAAATCTAACAAGTTAAGGATCGTGACGAAAAATAGTTATAGAGCACTTCATTGTCACACCCCTTCAACAATTAAGCACGCTAAATTTTTGCATTACTATACTCTTACCATACGTGGTTAACCTTTTTTAATTATATTGTTTTGATTAACCTCAATTTTTTTTTAATGCAGTACGGTTTTGTTGTTTAAATTTTGTGTATATTTTATATGGTGTCTCATCTCTCTTGCATTATTGGTATGCAACCGGCCAAATTCAATAATTTATATCGGGAACCATATCCACCTACCTTACACAGTGACCACTAATAACAACAATCAAAATAGGAGGGATTTAATAGTAAATATTGTGAACTGATGGCTGATTGTGATCTAAAAGTGGAGCAAAAAAGATATGGACGAAAGGTGATCTTCATAGATTTCTCTCAATCCGAATAGATCTAAACACTGATTTTTTTTTAGAAATTTTACAATGTTATATAGTATTGGTGCTATAGGTTTTTACTTTTATGGTACAACTTAAAATTGTACATTTACGTTTTGGTACAATTTCATATTGTACCTATACTTTATGTACAAATTCTTTTATGGTACAACTTTAACTTGTATCTTTATGTGATGATACAACTTCAAGTTGTAAAGTTGTACCATAACATAATGGTACAAATTGTTTTATGGTACAACCTAAACTTATACATTTAATGTTATGGTACAACTTTGAGTTGTACATTAAAGCACCAATACTATATAGCATAGTAAAAGTGCTCGATTTTTTTATTATTCACTTGTGGCACTCAAATCCATAACTTAATACATAGTAGTAGTTTCGAGCATCTGGCTAGTGCAATAAATGAATTAGTTGTTGTAAGGCAAGACGATCGATAAGTGAGTTAGGTTCAATATAATGATGATAACAATGTGTTAGGTTCAAACAATTTCGTATCCTTAAATGAATTAATTATCGTGAAAAAAATGAAAATAAATAATGTACTTTCAAGGAATGCTAACAAATATTACAACAAAAAGATTAATAGTCGTATTGGAGAAGTTGAACAACTTTTGAACAAAGGGATAATAGCTGTCAGAAGAAATATTTTCATTTATCCTCTTTCAATACAATTTTTTTTATAGACTCATTTAATACAAATTAGAAAATTAAAGAAGAATTTTATTGAAGCGGAGAGGCGACAGTGTGTACTAAAAGTCTAAAACTGATTAATTGTTAGTGAAAATCTAGCATGTGGGTTCACTTGCTAAAAGAAGTAATAAAGCGGCTCATTTTGTTATCTTCAAATAGTACAAGGACCTTCATAAAAAAAAAAATTAGTACAAGGACTCATCTAGTTATTTAACCCAGTATCGAATTCTGGCCCATGGATCCTCTTCACTAGTGGGCTTTTTGCCTTGGCTATAGCCCTTTTGCGGGCAGAACTGATCGTTCTCCATGGCGGGAAAACGGTCAAAAGCTTCAATCCGATGCACTTGACCTCATCGTACGAGAAACGTATCGCAATCTAAGCCGGTCATCGGGTCGCCAAACGTTATCAAGGCCGTTCGATTCGATCAAAGGATCAAGGGGGAAATTTTCGCATACCTTCGCCTAAAATCTCAGAATCCAAAAACCCTAGAAACCAGCTTGGTTTTCAGTAAATGGTCTGTTAAAATCGATCTCAAGGTTCCCAACCGCTAGGAGGACGGGAGATTGAATTCAGCTTGAGACAATTTGTCTGATGGAGACCGGAGGCAGCAGCGAGAGCCCGGCGGAGCCGAAGAAAGGCAGATCCCGAGCGCCGAAGAAGGCGGCGGAGAGTCTTCTCAAGCAGAGTTCAGTTTTGCCTTCCCTTTCGTTCTCGGATTACGCATTTCCCTTTGCTTGATTTGGAATGCAAGTGTTGGATATCTTAGTATGGAGTTTTGGTGGGTTGTCTGTGCAGAATCGCCGGCGGAGTTCTTTGCGGAGAACAAGAACATCGCAGGGTTCGATAATGTAAGCTTGATGAGTCGTTTTACCGTTCACTTCTGGAAATTTGTAGCTGATTCAGTGAATTGGAATTTGAGTTTGAACTCGTGTGTTTGGTTTCTCAGCCGGGGAAATCCCTGTACACCACGGTCAGAGAGCTAGTGGAGAACTCGCTGGATTCTGCTGAATCCATTTCCGAGCTCCCCGTGGTAGAGATTACAATGTGAGTGCTTTGTTGTTTTTGTAAGATGATTGGGTGGATTCTGTGCGAATTGGTATTCAGTTTCAGTTGGTTTGCTGTAGTGAAGAGATAGGGAAAAGCAAGTTCAACTCCATGATTGGGCTTATTGACCGGGAGAGGGTTGATGCAGCACTCTATGATGATTATGAAACAGCAAAAGAGCGTGAGGTGTGTTTGCTTTACAACATTTGCTTTCCTGTTTTCGTGGTGAGATTGCGCTGAACTGAAATATTTGGGGTTGATTTCACATTTGTGTGGGGGTTCTGGTTCATGATATGCAGAGAAGATTAGCGAAGGAGGCTCGTGCCCAGGAAATTCAAGCCAAGAATGCTGCTTCGGGAAAGAAAGTTAAGGAGCAGTCTGCTGGCAAAGGCATGAAGGGTCGTGGTGAGGGTTCGTTTTACAGAGTGACTTGCAAGGTGTGATTTGCTTGACTTTTTATCTGATCCTTTGATGTTTTCCAAGTATTGAACTGTACAATGTGTACTCTTTATAGCTGTGTTGTTGAGTTTTCATTGGTGTAGATTCTCACTTGAGTGAGGGGTGCTTTTAACGCAGGATAATGGGAAAGGGATGCCACATGATGACATCCCAAATATGTTTGGCCGAGGTGTTTTGCTTATTTTGGTGCTTAAGTACCTGGCTTCTGGTCCAGGTGGTCAGTATATTCTAACCCCTGACTGACTTTTAGTATTCCTTTGTGTGTGTAGTTCTGTCTGGGACAAAGTATGGCCTCAAACAGACACGTGGGAAGTTTGGTCTGGGTGCAAAAATGGTAAGTATCATCTTGAAGTGCATTGCTTTGCATTCTTGTCGAGGTTTCTATGTTTTGAGCTCCATTTTTGTTTGTGCTTTTTACTCTGCAGGCTCTGATTTGGTCCAAAATGAGCACAGGGCTTCCTATTGAAATTTCATCCTCAATGAAGGGCCAGACATATATGACCTTCTGCAGGCTGGACATTGACATCCATAGGTACAGTTACGTGTCAGGATGCACTTTATGGTCATTTGCCTTGGTTTTTAACTTGTGGTTCGTTGTTCAGAAATGTACCTCATGTTCATGTACATGAAAAGAGAAAGAATGACAACAAGTGGCATGGAGCTGAAATTCAAGTGGTCATTGAGGGGAATTGGACAACTTATCGTGTATGTTCTGATCCTTAGCTATGTTTATGCTTCTATGTGGTGTTTCTTTTGGTTATGTTTATGCTTCTATATTGTTATAATTTGAGTTATTCCCTCCATTTGCAGTCAAAGATACTGCATTACATGCGGCAAATGGCTGTTATCACTCCTTATGCCCAGTTTCTTTTCAGATTTATATCAGAGACATCAGAGTAATCTCTCTCTCTCTCCCTCCAACCCTCTGTCTTTGTCTCTCTCTCTCTCTCTCTCTCTCTCTCTCTCTCTCTCTCTCTCTCTAGGTTTCCTGACTGTCACGGTTGCTTCCTTTCCATATGCAGTAAAAACGTTACCATAAAATTTGCGCGGAGAACAGAGGTTATGCCACCAGTTCCTCTTGAGACAAAGCACCATCCATCATCTGTAGATATTCTGCTGATAAAACGTCTGATTGCCGAGACTTCCAAGCAGAATCTTCTGCAGTTTCTTCAGCATGAGTTTGTAAACATCGGGAAATCACATGCTGAACGCTTAATTGGTAAGCCAGGCATCAATATTGATAATTCCATTTGAATGCTGAGGCTATAGGTAGTTCAATTCTCATGAAATCACTTCATCTCAGTTGCATTTGATTTCTGAATTTGATGTTAAAATCATTACTTCAATATTTAATCAGGGGAAATGGGGTCAGAATTTAGTGCCAAAATGCCCGTTAAATCCCTTACTGATCAGCAGATAGTTCGCATACATCAACTGTTTCGTCAAGCCAAGTTTGATGACCCTACTGGAGATGTAAGCTGTTCTATCCGCTCTACTGACATTCTGTCACCTCTGTCGATTGATTTAAATGCTAAATTAGAACCATTGCCAGTGTCTTAGTCCTGCAGGAGAATATAATCTTCGTCTTGGAATTATAAAAGAGCTTCATCCAGACATGGTTGCTACTTATTCGGGCAGGTGAGGTCCTGAAATATCAGTTACCACTATGCCTTCCGCTGCTCTATGCTGCTAACTCGCTGATGGATATGCAGTGCTCAGGTATTTGAAGGACACCCATTTATTGTGGAAGCTGGTGTCAGTGTCGGTGGAAAGGACGTAAAGCAGGTAAGAGTTTGAACCATTAGAAAAGAAACTGATTGATCTTGAAGCTAGAAAAGGGGGAAAATTAGGTCTAACCTACTTGCAAACAGACTAATCAGCTTTGAGTCGGTTTTATGCACCAATAATTTCCATTTGATCATTCATCCTCTGATGTTGCCACTCTGGTTCAGGGTTTGAACATCTTCCGTTTTGCAAATCGCATCCCTCTTCTGTTTGAGCAAGGTGCTGATGTTGTGACCAGGACTGCCCTCAAGAGAATCAAGTAAGTGCAAACTGAAAATAAAATCTGCTTCTAACTATTAACCCAGATAAATCAATTCTTAAAAAGTTTCTCTTTTCCACAGCTGGGGTACTTACAAGATAAACCAGACTCAGGACAAAATAGGCGTCTTTGTAAGCATTGTCAGCACAAAAATCCCCTTCAAAGGCACTGGTAAGGAATACATTGGAGACGACATCAAGGAGATTGCTACTGCTGTCAAGGTGAGAGCTAGGCTGCCCTTCTTCTTGAGCTCTCCCTCGTTTCATTCTCCCTTAACGATTCCAAACTTACACCGGCAATTCCTCCCTCCCTCCCTCCCTCCCTCCAGTCAGCCATTCAGCAGTGCTGCAATCAGCTGAAATCCAAGATCATCAAGAAACTGCAGGCACGCGAGCAGCAGGAGCGAAAACGCAACATAGGCAGGTACATCCCAGATGCCTCAGCTGCTATCTACGACGTCCTGCAAGCGATGACACAGCTCCATGCATCGAAGAAGAGGCGCTACAACGAAGAAGACACAGACCTGGTCTCTAAGGTCGCATCTCGATCCATCACCACGGCCACTCTCAAGGAGAAGCTCTCTGAGCACGTTGCACGGGTGAGAGACAAGAACCTGAAGTCACCACCACCTACTGTTTTCCGACGACATAAATTTTAACAATGTGTGTGTTTTTCCTTCCCTCTTCTTAGGTGGACTATGAGATGGCCCTGGAATACGCGACACAGAGTGGAGTGAGCGAGGAGCCTAGAGAAGACGTTTACATCCAAGCGCTCGAGCCTGCTGCTGCTGATGGCAAGAAGTTCCTCGACTTCCATAGTCCCGCATTCGTCTTCAGACTCGTCTGTTGATAAGAATCTTTCGAAAAAGCACATATTTATATCTTGTATCCATCTTGTGCTGATCATAAGAAATAATCTTATGTTAGAATGTAATGCTTCATTAGTACCAAGTACCAACTGTGTATGGTATATACTAAACACTGATATCTTGTATTCCAACATTGCGTGAGTTTATGAATTCATACAGGAATAGAACGTGTAAATTGTACATAATTTCGGATAAATTCATATATTTTCTTGTTCATAATTGCTAAATCGAAATTGGAATCATTTTAAAACAAATTGAATATACATAATATTGAGAGTGTACTCCGTAGATGCTTTTCCTTTTTTTTTTTTTTGATAAGAAAACTTCCTAAATCAGCCGTAGATGCTTTTCCTGGTAACGTAAAATCGCAACACACACCTTCCGCGCGAGAATCCATATTAGAACGGTCCATTTCTGCCTCTTGTCGTCAATTTATTAATCGTGTTTTGTACATTTCCCGGCGAGAAAAAGGAGAAACGACCAACTCCCTGGCAATCGTCTCCGGAACTTCAAAAAAAAATTCCCTCCATTGAATCATCCATTCGATCGCTTCCTCCATCGCATTTCTCAAACAGAAAGCGTTCGTTCAACAATGGCGAGTTCGCCCAACATCGCGATTATGGGAGCTGGCATCTTCGTCAAGACTCAGTACATTCCCAGATTGGCCGAGATCTCCAATCTCATCGTCCTCAAAGCAATCTGGAGCCGCTCCGAGGTGAACACTGAACCACAATTCCTTCTCCGTAGATTCAACTGTTTCATTCAATCGCGCATCTCGTACCTCTGCGCGTTTCAGGAATCGGCGAGGGCTGCTGTGGAGATAGCGCGTCGGCATTTCCCCGACGTGGAGTGCAAATGGGGGGACAAAGGACTCAACGAGATTCTCAACGACGAGTCCATCATCGGCGCTGCCGTGGTTCTCGCTGGACAAACTCAGGTCACTCTCTCTTTGATTTTTCCTCGTGATTTTGCCGCTGGTCTGATAAATTGGAGGAGTGGATGTGTAAACTTGGTAGAGTGAGTCATGAACTAGTCCTGTGTATTATAGGTTGAGATGTCTCTGAAGCTGTTGAAGGCAGGGAAGCATGTTCTTCAGGGTAATGAAACTTGGTATACTGGCATTTCTTAGTCATCTATGCACTTCCTCTTCAGTGATTCCTTCGTACTAACTTTTGGGTTCTTGTTCTTCAATGCCATCTGCATTGCCTGGTTTTAAATTGGTTGATCTGAAGAGAAACCTGCGGCAGCTTGTAAGTGCTGATCTGCATTTGAGAATTGAGTTTGAATTGACGCGAGATTGTGCTGTTAACATTACTTATGCAAGAATGGTTGGTGGTGTTGTGATGTAGCCGCGAGAGAGATTGAAGCTGCACTCTCAGGTTACAAATCCATTTGTGCCAAAACTCCTGGGCAGCCAATCTGGGCTGTTGCAGAGAACTATAGGTTTGAACCTGCGTTCGAAGAGGTATTTTTTATTTCGATTTGTCCGATTTTCCCATCCAACTAGCATACACTAAGGCTCGACTATGATTTGGTTACACAGGGTAAGAGGTTGATGGCTGAAGTGGGAGAAATGATCAATGTACAAGTCATCATTGAAGGATCAATGAACAGCACAAACCCCTACTTCTCGAGTTCGTGGAGACGGAATTTTACAGTAGGTCACTTGACACGATATTGTCCATACTTTTGACCCGTGATAGAAGTGTTCATTTCATGGAGATTAAAGAGCTCCCGTCTATTCTAACACTGAACTCTATTTGATTCATAAAATGATACTGGAACTGTGTTCTTATTGATAGGCATTTTAACTTTTCAATATGGTTGCTTGTTGCCTGTCCCTTTGGAGAATCCTTACCTAGCACTCCTTTCATTTTGATTCTACAGCTAGTTGACATATCGTTTGTATCGTTCTTGAGCTTGCGCTTTGTGCAACTTCTTGACTGATAAAGCTTCCATACCTGCAGGGAGGTTTCATTCTTGATATGGGGGTGCACTTCATTGCAGGACTTAGGATGGTATGTATGACAACCTTATTTATTTCCACGCGCTAATCGCTGTATCGAACGATTCTCCACCCATTAACGATCTCTTCTTTGTATTTCCATATGATATGACCAGCTGGTTGGAAGCGAGGTAGCCACGGTGTCTGCCAGAACCTCTCATGTGGATACCATCTTACCTCCACCAGACAACATATCTGCAGTCTTGTAAGCTTCTTCTGTGCTAAACTCTTTATTTCTCACAAATGGTTCAGTACCTCGATCAAGAATCTGAAGCCTATTCTACGTACATTTGCTTTTCTTAGCCAGTTAGAGAACGGATGTTCTGGAGTTTTTGCTATGGTTGTCTCTTCACGATCACCTAAGGTTTGTGAATGGTGCCTGTTCCATTTTCTGTATGGTGCTGAACTATATAATCAACTCATTTGAATGCTGCGACTTACAGGTAGTCTGGCGAGTTGTTGGCTTAACCGGTACGCTTCAAATCCAGCGTGGTAGCGAAGATGGACGCCATGGTTACCTGGTACGATGAAAATTCCATTAACCTATCAGCATAACTCATCTTTCCCCCTCTTTTTATGCCTTCAATGTTGCAACTTCTGGTGTTTCAGGTATCCTTTTTCGGCGGCGATGGACAAAGCAAAAGCAGCTTCCACGCATTCAGCGGTGTAACAGAAGAGTTGAAAGTATTCATACGTGACATAACACAAGCTTCCCTTAAGGTAACGCACAAAGAAAGATATTGTATCACCACTTCCAATTCCAACTATATGCATCAAATTCTTTTCCAAGTGTCTGCCTGATCTAAATTACTCTGTAAACTCCAATGCCTGCTTCCTGGCTCTGTTGATCATGTTTGTCTGTAATGTGACACTTTTCTGCAGAAGGAATGTGGGTATGAAGCCGAGCCACGGCTCACTTTCTTGGAAGGCGCTCGGGACGTGGCTCTACTAGATGCAATGCTTGAATCCGGGAGGAAAAAGGGAGCCCAGGTCGAGGTCAAGCAGTTTTAGATTCCTTAAGGACAGAATTTTTTCAATTTGGCAGGGAATTTTCTTTGTGTGTAGTTTGCTTTAGACTCTTTTTCTGTATTGCTGTATAGATAATGAAGGCATTTTATCAGTTGGATCTTGAAACAAGAATAATATTGTACTGATTAGTGATTATGATCATCAAAGAGATTTAGTACTGCAGTCTGCAGTGCTTAGTGCTATTTCTGCTATGGTTGAAAAATTGGAAGAGAATTTGGTGGCCATGAAGGAACAGGCATTGAGACTCCAATTCGCAGCTGGGCCTCCTCTGGCCCAAAACCGCTAGGCCCAAGTACAATTCCGCTCGGCAGGCTTACTTAACCCAGCCAAGTGCAATTCCCCACATATGGCAATAGACCGGGCCGGTCATGTATATTATCATATTCACGAATCATGGGTTAAAATTCGTAACCATTATCATAAATTCATGATTAAAATTGCGTGGAATGTAATGTAATATGATATATTAAAACCAACTAGTATGTGGTGTGGAAACCAACCAGTCACCAACCGAAAAAATTGGTTCGACCGTTAGATTTTACGATTAACCTCAATTTTGGGATAAATCTGTCCATTATTTTCAAATTTTGGCCATAACTGTATTATTTGAAAGTTGGAGTCAAAACCGATAATTACGTCAAACTTTAGGCCAACTAAGGTATTAACTCATATTGGGCCAGGTGCAACTTGCAAGCATGTCTCTAGCCTGTCAGTGAAACCGAAAGAGAGCTCTGAGACTCGGAGAGAACAGAGAAGCTCCTGCATCATGCACTGCATTTCATCAACTAATTAAACACTAAAATATGCATATCGTCGTCTTTTTCTGCTTAGCCATCCCAGCTGACAAAAGAGAGAAGAGATCAGAGCAGGTAATATGATTAAAGTAGAACCCTAAACCCCAAACGGCAAAACCTAACACCCACCAATATGACAAGAGACTTATTGGAATAAAGTTGCCATCTTGCCCTTTCCATAAGTTCCATTTATTTATTATTTGCATGTATTGGATATTGATTTTGACCCAATGGAAGTTATCAGTTGTTTTCAGCACACTTAATACACTGGACCCATTACATATACATTTCCTCTCCATCATTAAATGATTCAATGAAACCTAAACAAGAAGGAAAACACACAAAAACCCGATATGATTGGTTTTGATATCGTTAAAGTCATGTAGCAATTTATCTGAATTCAATTATATGGCGATCAACGAGTATGATTCGTAAGAATTTGAATTTGGTTCAATGGAATGATTTTCCGACATATCCATTCTTCTATTTCCGCTAACAATTTAAACTAATCGACGTTATAAGGTATCAGGCGTGTATACACTTACGATTTTTTCCCCCATCATTGATAAGACCGCAAAAAAAAAGGAAGGAAGACGTATGACTTGAACACATTAATGCATGGTGAGTATTTGTAAACGACCAAAACGTTAGGAAATTCCTACAATACCTTGAAGTTATGGTAACTTGATGTTTTTGACCTGCTATAACAGGTTTCACAAGTCGCATTACGTAAAATACAATAGGCATTACGTAATGTGTGTTTATCTTACGTAATAGTTGAAAAATGTCATTACGGAAACCTTACGTAATAGACACTCATTTTACGTAATGAATATTAACCTTTCGTTACGTAATCTGTTGAATCATTATGGAAGGCTTACGTAACACTTCTAATTTAACTGTTACGTAAGAAATAACTATCGTTACGTAACCTTTACGTAATAGATGCATACTTTACGTAACAGTTGTAAAGTGGCATTACGGAAGCCTTACGTAATGGATGGTCCTTCTACGTAATGATATTAATCAAGTTACGTAATGTAGTAAGTCATTACGGAAGTCTTACGTAACACTTCTAATTTAACTGTTACGTAAGAAATAACCTTTGTTACGTAACCTTTACGTAATGAGCGTGTATTTTATGTAACAGTTTTAAAATGTCATTACGGAAGCCTTATGTTGTAGACGATGCTTTTACGTAATGAATATTAATCTAGCGTTACGTAAAATGATAAGTCGTTACGGAAACCTTCCGTAACGCTTCTATTTTAACTGTTACGTAAGACAAACAAGCATTACGTAATTGTTACGTAATAAACATTAGTTTTACGTAACGCGACCTATAAAACCTGCTATAGCAGGTAAAAAACGTCAAGTTATAGTAACTTCAAAGCATGGTAGGAGGTCCCAAAACATTAAATCAATCGCGTGATATTCTCGGTGAAAGTATCATATAAATGATGAGAACATCCATTTTGGGGAAAATTAAACCTTCAACACACTTGCTCCCAGCTTGAAAAAGGAATCTGAGTGATCCGTGGAATAGAATACGTGCAAAAACTCTCATTTCCTTTCTTCAAATACAAGTTTTGTGATGAGTAATCAGCTTTAAAATCAATTAGTCCAAAGAACACATGTTCTTACACCTAAATAGGCTCCTACAACTAACCCTTAGTTAAGATTTCGATCGAACTGAAAGACAAAGTCGTCAGAAAGAGCAGAAGAAATTAAAGCATTTGGTCCTGAATCTAAACAGCGGATGGAATGCCATTCCGCCCGCCGCTAATCACTGCGTTCGCCGGACATTTCTTTAAAATAAGTTTGAACAATGTAAACATACACGTGGAGACTCTGGTCGCCGGTCGGCTTGGCCGGAGACCTTTTTAGATGGAATGCGACCGTTGCACTGACGACGAGCCACTGAAAACCAACATACCTGACAGCCAGCCACGTGTGCTGATCCAACATCACCAACCAAGCTTAGTTTAACCGTTTTTTTTAAGAGCTTAGTTTAACCTTTAATCTCACATCATTTACCAAAACACAACCTTCCTGATCAGGTCAACCCTTGGAGTTAATTAACACTATAGAGAGAAGAGGTAGGTATCGTCATCGTGTGCATGCACCAACTCTGAAAATGGTCACCGTAGTTTGGGCCACCGGTGCTAATTTTTTTTTTATCACAATTTTCAACGGGTAGTAACTGAATAATTAATATGATTGTGACCCTATTCATTTTTCATTTTTGGGTCAAGGGTTCTTCTTGCAAATCGCCTAGTGTGTCACCTCCATAATGGTAATAAGGGAGAGGATACATTGACGTTGCGACGAGTTGATACGTTAACGTTTGTTGGAGGTAAAAAAAAAAAGGAAAAAAAAAAGAAATTGCTAATTGCTGGAGAATATCGATTTTATTCGATAACGAATTCAACCGGTGTTGCCCGATATAATCCCATGTCTTTCTTCCTACCATCTATACAGTTTAGCCAAAGTCAATGGTGGAGGTAGGTTGAACCTAAAAGGGGTTGGAGTTCTCCCCGTCAATTTTGAAATATAGATATGTACAAATTTAGGAACTATGTATAACAGTCGATAAGACTTTAATCCCCCTCCTCCAATTACCACAATTCAAGTTAACTCCCCTCGTTCAAATTTATGGCTACAAAAGTAAAGAGTGTGACGGGCGAGTAATTACATTAATACTGAAGTTTTGGATGAAAATTTCGATGGAGATAAATAAGGTGCCTATCACATAATGACTACTTGAGACTATGACAAGCGCGTCAAAACATCAAGTTCAGTGATCAATTCGTCAATGACTCGGAAGTTTAGTGACTGTTTTATGTAAATAACCGGCAATTTAGGGCCTGTATCCGCTTCTGTTTCCGGGTAAAGCCCATGGTTTTAGCTGTTAATGGGCCGGGATTATTACTAACTTGCCACTATTGGGCTAAGAATTCTATAATTTCGTATATTCCTTTTCTCTCCTGTTTTCTTGTTCTTTTCCAGATGGATAGTTGAGTTGAGTCTTGAAAGAATCGAAATTTGTTTGGGAACCAAGAAGGGGAGAAAGAAGGAGGTGGCTTTTGGATTACTGGGTCGTCGCCGATCTCCAGACAGCTGGAAATTGGGATTATCCCCTTGACAAAATCATGGGCCTTCTTAGTTATAAACAAAAATGGCTATTCTTTGATTAAAAACAAACACAATAGTGAAAATGATATATGAAATATGATTCAAGGTTTGGATTCAATTAGAGATATTGAAATGCTTGATGATGAAGAAGGCGACACACACAGATTAGTGAACCGAACCCCGATTCTAGTTGCACTTTCGAGCCAAATAATGATACATTATTGTTGATATGACTTGAATTGGACTATCTGACTACGACTGGACTGGAAATCCCATGGTCTCGTTGTATAGTAAAACCGTGTCTCTCCTGCCCGTGTTAGTGAACCACATTAATTTATCTGTCTTTGTTTCGTTTCTTGCTCTATTGATTCTCCAATTTTCCGGTGTGTATAAACAGTCAGTGACAATTACATTCCAAGTGTTGCTGATTAGTGCAACCTAACGCCATTAGATAATCTTTAATTGCGTGATTCGAAAAACATGAAATTCCAAGTTTATGCAGTCAAAAGGATTTATGAATTGAACCAAATGGTGGATGGTGTAACTTTTGACATCCAAAACCCATTAATGTGACACAAGCAACATTTCTCTTATTTGACTAAAAAAACAAGAATTGCAATCCAAATTAGACTCAAGAAAATGTCTCCAGTATTCCCAGCAATTGGGTCACAGTTGAACCTATAGCTTTGAATTGAATAAGAACAAAACAAACCGCCTTGTCCCTCGTCATGTGTCCATCCAACCCCAAACCGACCGTAGTCCTCGTATAACACAAATATTAATCTACCCTTCTTCTATAAAACCAAATAAAAGGTAATAAAGAGAGATAGATTTTAATTACAAAATTTTGTGTTTTACTTTTTTCTTGTCAAAGAATGATTTTCCATGGGTAAAACAAAAAGGACTAATCACGAGTTTATAAAGGGTAGCAGTAAAAATTTACTGCTGATATTCAGGTTAAGTAAATAATAAAGTGGAAAACGGTGGGCTCTCAGTCGGTTCAGTACTGTGCCTGCCCCTCTCTCTCCTTTCTCTCTACTGTTTCTTATAGCGAGAGAAAGAAAAGATTCAGTCTTTCCTTCTACAGATCTCGCTTCCCAGTTCACATGCTCACTTTACTTACTCCCTCTCCCCTTCTACTAGCTCAAATCCTTCTTCTAAGCTCCCATTTTCACGCTCAAGCTTCGACTTACACACTGCAGCAGCTCCCAACATTGGTGAAAAGTTCAGTGATTGAGAGGTACAAAGCTTGTGACTTTTTTTTGGTTATATTGTTAAGGGTATTACTCTGTTGATAATGATGCAGTCCAAGTGTTTGTTGGTTTGCCTGTGTGAAGTTGGTGTGGGTTGTTGTTGACAGAGGAGAGGAGGGGGGAAAGAAATGTTTGGAATGGAATAGTTAGCTAGCTTTGTTAACTCTGGCAAGCAAGCCAGAGTAGAAGAAAATGAATTGGCATTAAGTCTAGGTTTGACAAAATAAGCAAACTTGGAGGGTTTAATCTTTTTTGGGGGTTCCATTATTGATCTTGGGTTTGAATTGTTCTGGCCATTCTGCAGCTATTCTGTTCCCCAGAATTAGATCCGTTAGCATGTATATGTAGATGTGGGTTTTGATCATTCTTGTTTGGTTGCTGTGAACTTGTTGGAAAAAGACAAATTGTCAAGGAAAACACTTTCTTTTTTCCTATCCTTTGTTGTAAAAGTTTGGATCTTTGGCCATCAAAAGAGGGAAAAGGAAAAGTTCGAATCATTGGCCACATATCTTGAGAGCCTAGTGGCACCGCCACCTTCAAGAGTGGCCAGATTGGGCTTACCTGTAGTGTAAGTATCTATCTTCGCTCAACGAGATGGTTTACAGATGAGCTTGAGCTTCCATCATTAATGCAGAGAAGATTACTTGTTGATCATGCACTGAGAGCCATTAAATACATGCCTACGTTATGTGTTTATGTGTGTCATTGTAAAGAAATGTCATTTTCTTCATTTAATTTCTTGCCTTATTTCCCAGCTACCATGAATCATGTTAAAATCATGACTTCTTCTTTGGTTCAGTTTTGCAGGTTAACTTGAGCCTTCTGGCATCACCCTTCTCTTCCATTCCATCAACCAAGTTTAGCAGCTTCTGATTCTTTAGCTGAGTCTTAGATCAGGAGAAGGCAAAATGATGCAGAAGCCACCACAGAATGTGGACTTTGCACTCAAGGAGACCTCCCCAAAAATTGGGGCAGGAGCCATAGCAACCGACAAGCTAGCCTCAACTTATGATCTCGTCGAGCAAATGCAGTATCTCTACGTCCGAGTGGTGAAAGCACGAGACTTGCCTTCCAAAGATGTCACTGGGGGCTGCGATCCTTATGTTGAGGTCAAGCTTGGAAACTACAAAGGAATCACAAGGCACTTTGAGAAGAAGTCAAACCCTGAATGGAACCAAGTCTTCGCCTTCTCGAAGGACAGAATCCAAGCATCGGTTCTCGAAGTCACAGTGAAGGATAAAGATGTTGTTGTAGATGACTTGATTGGCAGAATGATGTTCGATCTCAATGACATCCCGAAGAGGGTCCCACCAGACAGTCCATTGGCCCCACAATGGTATAGGCTCGAGGATCGGCACGGGAATAAAGTGAAGAATGGTGAGCTAATGCTTGCTGTTTGGATGGGGACTCAAGCTGATGAAGCATTCTCCGATGCTTGGCATTCTGATGCAGCAACTGTGGGCCCAGATGGTGTGGCAAACATCAGGTCCAAGGTATATCTCTCACCCAAGCTATGGTATGTGAGAGTGAATGTGATTGAAGCTCAAGACTTGATACCTAACGATAAGACCAGGTTCCCTGAACCTTATGTGAAAGTCCAGTTAGGAAACCAGCTGATGAGAACTAGAATATGCCCAACCAAAACGATTAATCCGATGTGGAATGAGGATCTAGTGTTTGTGGTAGCCGAGCCCTTTGAGGAGCCCATGATTTTGTCTTTAGAAGATAGAATAGCTCCCAACAAAGATGATACCTTGGGGAGATGTGTCATTCCGTTGCAGCTAGTCCAAAGAAGGCTTGACCACAAGCCGGTGAACACAAGATGGTTCAACCTCGAGAAGCATGTGATTGTGGATGGTGAGAAGAAAGAGACTAAATTTGCTAGCAGGATTCATTTAAGAGTCTGTTTGGAAGGAGGGTACCATGTTTTGGATGAATCAACACATTACAGTAGTGACCTTAGACCAACTGCTAAGCAGCTGTGGAAAACCAATATCGGCATCTTGGAAGTTGGAGTCCTGAGTGCAGTTGGATTATCACCCATGAAGTCGAAAGATGGGCGAGGGACCACTGATGCTTACTGTGTGGCGAAGTACGGGCAGAAATGGGTGAGAACAAGGACTATTGTCGACTGCTTTACACCGAAATGGAACGAGCAGTACACGTGGGAGGTCTTTGATCCTTGCACCGTGATCACCGTAGGCGTCTTCGACAATGGACATCTGAATGGAGGGTCTGGAAGAGACTCAAGGATTGGGAAAGTGAGGATTCGACTCTCCACACTCGAGACCGATCGAGTGTACACGCATGCTTACCCTCTATTAGTCCTACACCCTTCAGGAGTGAAGAAAATGGGTGAGCTTCAACTAGCTGTGAGGTTCACCTGCTCATCATTGATCAACATGCTTCACCTGTACTCACACCCTTTGCTCCCCAAGATGCACTACATCCACCCATTATCGGTTATGCAGCTGGACATCTTAAGGCACCAAGCTATACAGATAGTATCGATGAGGTTGAATCGAGCCGAACCACCACTGAGGAAGGAAATCGTCGAGTACATGCTTGATGTCGATTCACACATGTGGAGCATGAGAAGGAGCAAAGCTAACTTCTTTAGGATCATGAATGTCTTGGGTGGGTTGATAGCCGTGGGGAGATGGTTTGACCAGATATGCAACTGGAAGAACCCTATAACCACAGTTTTAATCCACATCCTCTTCATCATTTTAGTTCTCTACCCTGAGCTAATCTTGCCTACTATCTTCCTTTACCTCTTTCTGATTGGGATATGGAACTATCGGTGGAGGCCGAGGCACCCACCTCACATGGACACCAGACTCTCACACGCCGATGCTTGCCACCCTGATGAGCTGGACGAGGAGTTCGACACATTCCCCACCAGCAGGCCATCTGATATCGTGAGGATGAGGTATGATCGTCTGAGGAGCATTGCGGGGAAAGTTCAGACCGTGGTGGGGGACCTGGCTACTCAGGGGGAGAGGTTCCAGTCGCTGTTGAGCTGGAGGGATCCAAGAGCTACAACTTTGTTTGTGACATTCTGCTTGATCGCTGCCGTCGTGCTGTACGTGACGCCGTTCCAGGTCGTGGGGCTTCTGATCGGGATCTATGTGCTGAGGCATCCCAGGTTTCGGCACAAGCTTCCTTCTGTTCCTCTCAACTTCTTCAGGAGGCTGCCTGCAAGGTCTGACAGCATGCTTTGACGTCGATACATTCCGCCTTTCTGGGATCATAATGTAACAAGCTGAGCTGCCTTTAGTTGTAGGTTTTGTGTCTGGACATTGTGTTCTCTTCTTCTTGCTGTCTGAGAAATTCAGGTTGTTGTTATTGTAATCTATAGCTAGTTGTGACATTGGTTGATCATTTGCAGGTTTCAGCTTTGAATATGCAGAAAGTTCTAGTTCTGCACACTGTCAATCATTCTGTTTGATAGTTCAGACATGTCTCCCCCCACCTTTGTTGTTACTGAAAATGCCAAGAGAATTGACGGATGTCACCATTGTTATGTGGCGCAATACACAGAGATAACAATCTCCATTCTTCACGGATGACACAGATTTGAACAGAAAGATACACATTTCGGATCTAGATTCCCATTCGAATCGCTAGGAGTATCAATTGTTGGAAAAAGGATCAATGCGCCTGCAGCCTGCCAGGTCTGATGGCAAGCTTTGATGGTGAGTAAGATTAAAGCTTTTTTAAGGGATCAAAATGGAACAAGCTGATATAGTACCGGTTATTACTTATTACATTCGATAATTTTTATGTCTCAGCTTCGGTGTAAGGAGAGTTTATGTTCCTCTTTTTCAGGTTGGGAATAACAGAGTAACCAACAAAATGTCTTTAGTTAGTAGGTAGCTCGTTTTTAAATGGTAATCTCGGTAACTATCAATACCTCGAATTACTGGTAAATGGTAATCTCTAGATCAAACAATTATATCATTTATTAATATGACTGCTCAAAAGAAAGTCAACTTTGTTTGAAGTTTGCACATATCTGAATATCATTTGGTTAACAAATGGAGTTATCAAGATTCAAACATATAACACCTCTGTCTCGATCTACCGTTCTCAAACTGACTAAAGCTAATTATCCTTTTTCAATTAACTATTATATCTAGTTTACTCATTTCATCCCGAACAATGATGGATTCCAAGACCCACTCTCCCTCCGATCCTGGTTGTGCATTCTAGAGACTAGACTACGCACTTGCTCTAAACAATTCATATAAAGACATATAGGAAGTCTACTACGAGGACATAATATGAACACAAAGATATTATGAACCTGTACAAACGTTAATCTTTAGGGCTCGTTTTCTGATTGGATTGGAAAATGAGGATTTTGAGTTTTAAAAACTTTGAATTTGTGGTGGATTTATCATGGATTCATGATGGATTTGTCTCGCATTTTTGTATTCCATTATCAAATCCAAAATGAATTGTGCCATTTACAAATTCGTGGGGTCCACGGTTTTGAATCTAAAAATAGAGGTCCAAATCCGTAGACCCACGGATTTGTATCCCTCAAGTCTCAACAAACAATAAATTTGGGCTTAATTGCAAGTTTGGTCACTCGAATTGCTTAAAAATTTCACGTTTGCCACTCAAATTGATTTATTCCATTTATAGTCACTCGAATTAGTTGAACAGTCCAAGTTTGGTCACTCTCCGTTAACCTCCGTTAGACTCCGTTAGTGACGACCGTTAAGTGATGACGTGGCTAACAGAAAGACACAGTCAACATATTTTAATATTAAAAAACGACGACCCGACCCGCCAGCTCAGCCTTACCCGCCCTGTCAGCCATTCTTGCCCAACCAGCGAACCAACCCAATTAATTGACCCTAAACCCAAACCCGAGACCCGCCGTCGTCGTTGTTGGTCTCCGATATCCACAATCCTGGTGGATATCGGAGAGAATAATGCTTTTGGATATGTGGATAAATTGGCCTTCTGAGTACATTGGAGCGACCCCTAAACTTTGTGGCAAATTTTTTTTTTTTTAATTTGGTCATTTTCATTGAACTTGACAGAGGTTTTCTTATAGGATGTGATTCACACTTAATTTAATCAGCAAATTTCAGCTGGGAAGATTTATGGTGGCCATTTCGTGTTCTCGATCTATCAAAACATTCATGTTGATTTTCTCAAAACGGTTTGGTAAATATATAATTCGAGTTATTAATTTTTTTTTTAAATAATGAATCTTCTACGCATTCCCTTGCACTTTTTCTCAAGTTTGGACAAATCGACATACCATATGATTATGTAAGCAATCTGTTGATCTTTGGCACCGTCAGAATTTCAATACGAAATTTCTCGATAAAAACAATTGATCCCAATAATTTAAGCTGTTGAGAGAGATCCGGAGGTGAATCCGTGTATCATTTCGTTACATGAAGATCAATATCAAACTAAATCGATAAAGTCTGACATAAACAGTAATAAGGAATCGCCAAGTGCACAATAAGGGCTTATTATTTCGAGAAAAGCGAGGACAAGGTCTAGATTGATGCAATCGGGATTTTCTGGTGTAGGGGACGAGGATCCGGTGAAGGCTTTGAACATGGTGGATGTTGTGATCTCTGTAATTGGCCACGCATAGCTCACCGATCACGGTAAGACCATATCCGCCATTAAAGACCACCTTTCAAAGTTTCACCGTTTCACTAACCCGGCCGACCATATCATGATAATATGTGATGGTTTTTGTGAGGCTTATAATAACTTCCGGCATGTTTACTACATAGGTCACAACCAATTTTAAATTGAAGATTCATATATCAACAAGAAATCCTAGTTGTGTTTCTACACAATGATAAAAAGGTGTAACATCATGAGACTATCAACCTTATGGGTGTGAAGATCGTCTTAATAAGTGTATGTATGTCAATCGTTTCTAGAATATATAAGATGACCAACAATCTATATTCGTTAGACTAATTTCAAATGATAATTATGTATAGTTAATCCGAGTCGCATTACCAAAAACCTCTATAAATTTTCGTTTTGATTAGTATGATTAATTGCAAATAATACTTACGTATAGTTAATCCTGAGTCGCATTAACAGAAACCTATGTATAAATTTTCACTTTGATTGGTATGATTAGGTTGAATAGTGTAACTTTCCCTCAGATGTTCCTTTTTTTTTTCTCTCCAGGAACAAAACTCGAATCAGTTTTGTAAGTTTGTTTTTGATAAACCCAACCCATTGCTAGTAATAAAACTTCCAATCATTAATATTGTATTATGTAACCTTTAAGCCTCCAGTTACATATAAAAAGAAATAAAACATCAAAAGAAAATTTGCTCTATATAAACATATCATCCTATTTACCAAAAAAATTCGATTCATAACATGTCTTGCTTGCCAAATTGATCCGAATATTGTGGCAACATCCTTTCCTATTCATTCAAAAAGTCGACAACTTGACCCATTTGCGTAACAATCTATTCAGTGCTTACAAAACCAAATACCCACCTCTCCTGACAACATGATCTCTTGAGACTCTTTGAATAATCAACATAATCGTATCTTTCTTTCTTCTTACTTTCACTCACATCACACAAATTATAATATGAGCAGCAAAAATAGTATTGTGTCATACTCTGACACGTAGAAGGCGAATACTTTTCGTATTAGTGTTGGAGTTATTGTATAAGTCGATCATTGAAAACAACAGTTTTCCTTTCAGTAATAAGAAACAATAGTTTCTACCGTATTATGATTTGTCATCATGATATCATATCAAACGCTAATTCGTCGATAGAATCTCTCCGCAACTCATCCCCACTCTACATTGTACCGCGACCTTGAACTGCCCTGGAATAATACCCTGTCACAAATTATTAGAATTATTAAAGTGCAAGTTCCCAAAATTTCGGGTTACTGTTCATCACGAAATTTTCGAGGTCGCTGTTTACGAAGGGTCAATGGTTAGCTGTGGACGTTTTTAGTGTAAGCTCATGTATTTTTTTTTAGGCTGGCCAAGTACAGGAAAATCCCAACCGTCGGATAATCATCAATCCAATACATTTTTTGTTGTCCTTTATATCTCTGTTTCTCCGTTACCGTACGTCTTCTCCCCTCTCTCCTTTATCTCTCCGCCCATATCCCGATGTCTCCTGTAGCAAAAGCAGAGAAAATTAAAATTTGGGTAGGGATAGATTCAAAGATGGGACAACGTGTCTTCCAGCTGGGGATTGCATAGGGAAGCACCTCCAATCCCTAATTTCCTTTGTCAGCGGATGCTTTCCTTTCTCAACCAATTACAATTTTGTTGGATGAAACTCGACCACAGTCGGTGCAATGGGTTCCTCTTGATTTGGTAGTGAAGGGGCGACTCGATGGTGGCATGGATTTAAAAAGTGGACTTATGTTTTGAAGCAGACAGAACGGGAGAGGGATGGATTTGGCTCGGCGCTGTTCCATGAAGGGGCTAAGCCAAGTTGGGTATCCGTTAGAAAGCTGATTCCACCTAGAATGGAAGTTTGGTTCTTTGACTTTGATAATTCTCCACATATCCAGAGACGGGCAGAAACGCAACAAAACCCTCTGTTGTTCCCACGCAAACCCTCTATCCGTTGGCAAAGAAGCGTTCCCCGAAATGGCAGAGAAGCGCCTGTTGGCTGGTACCGGAGGATTCTAATCTGTGGCTGTCCATATGACAAGAGACCAGCTGCAGCAAAGTGGTGGTGTTTGTAGGCTTTAATCTCTGAGTGTAAGCTAAACTCATACTAAATCTGCAATATATAGTTACCCAACGTAGAGCGGTAGAGGTAAGTCATTAGTCATAGCCATCTATATGGCAATAGGAGGTATGGTTTATTGAGGGATTCAGCTTGATGGTTGCTGGATTTGGGAAACAGTGACTTTCAACCCACAAAAAAAAGAATAGGGTCTTCATATATATGATAGCTAGAAATATAATTCATTTAGGCCAGTTTAGTGAGAAATAAACCTGTCATAATGCAGTGCAGCACATGATCACAACATATAACTTCTCCTTGCTTACACCAACACAAGGTTTTATTTGACAATATTACAGCAAAAGGTCATAAACCTCTCACAATATGGAATAATTAATAGGACACTATCTGCTATGGTTCTCTGTTTTGCTTTATTGTACAACTATGATGAGTTATACTCTTTTGTTTAGACTATTTTTGTATCTTTTATTGGAATATGATTACAGGTC